TTTTATTCTAGTGTAAACTGAATGTACGTCTATATTTTTAACTTTAGTGTAAACTGAATCTATATCCACATTTTTTTTAATTCCAGCGTGAACCGAATCTATGTTTACATCATGAACAGTAATGTAAACCGAATCTATGTCTTGAATTTCAATTCTAATGTAAAACCGAATCTATTGTCTATATATTTAATTCTTGTCGAAACCGAATTTATGCCGACCTTCTAGTGTAAATCGTATCTTAACATTTTTAAATCTTGTGTAAACCGAATCCATGTTTACATTTTTAATTCCGGTGTAAACCGAATTTTTCTCCACCTTTTTAACTTTAGTGGAAATTGAATCTATGCCTATCTACATTTTTAACTGTAGTGTAAACCGAATCACTGCCTACATTTTAAATTTCGGTGTAAACCGAATCTTTCTCTACTTTTTTAACTTTAGTGGAAATTGAATCTATGCCTATCTACATTTTTAACTGTAGTGTAAACCGAATCAATGTCTACAATTCAAATTCTAACTTGAATCTATATTTTTAACTCTAGCGTAAAACTATGTCTACAATTTTTACTCTTGTGTGAAAAGCACATACCAGACTTTTAAATTCGAAATTAGAAAATCTAATAAGAGTTGATATGTTGTTAAAGTAACCAACCTCGACTCTTGATGGACACAAAGAATAAACGGGAGGTGTACATGTCTACATCGGTTTCGCCTTGTTATTCCGGATGATATGTGATGTGTTTTTTATTCGTGATTTTAGAAAAGTTTTTTTTTTTCAATGCACGTATTCTTGGTCTCTAAGTGTACGTATAAATGTTTGCCTTCTAAAAACTGGCGACAGTTCGATATCATCAAAAGCAATAAAAGAATTCGATTCGACACACAACAGCAGTTCGAATCGACTAACGCATTAACGTGGCAAAGCAACAGGTGTTTTATTTCGGTTTATTTGAGGATATATGGCTGAGAAACATTTACAAAAAAAATCATCAACGATTTTATTCTTAGTATCCGAAATATTTTATTTTTCGGCATTTAATGATAAATTCACTGAGCGGGTCTCACATAAAGTGAGAATTCAATTAGACTAACTGTTGTCGCTAATTTGCAAATATTTCTATCTAAATGAGGGTCTGATGGCTATAATTTATTTGCTGATTTTATCCTTTACATTACTTCTTATGCCTGAAGTATTAAGAATTTTCATTCTAAAGTTCATTAACTCTACCTATCGGAATGAATAAACCTAATGTAACCGGACCTTTTCGTCTCTAGTGTAAACCGAACCAATATCTAGATTTTGGGCTGTAAGCCTTCAGAATGTTGGTGATCATGGCTCTCCATAATTTCCCGTCTTTTGTAGATCGTAATAGATTTTGTATTTTTTTCTCTCTTAAACCTTCATTCATTTATTCAAGTTCGCTAGGTAGCTTATGAGCTGTTTTCCTCTGTCTTATTTTCAAACTGTTCTGTGAGTATCAAATTTTCCAAGCCTTCTTTCCCCATTAAGTGTCCTAAAAATTTTCAATTCTATTCCTGATGTCGCTGCTCAGATGATCCGTCAAATGGTATTCTCAGTATACATCTGTAGAAACACGTTTCCGTTGCTTTAAGTCTCTTCATCTGTGAGAAGATTGTCCAACATTCACTGGCATATCAGAAGAATGATATTATATAAGAGTTAAGTACTTTTTTTCTTTGTTTCTAATGAATATTTCTTTGTTCTTAATGCTTTTCTTAGCTTTTCGAAGGTATCTTTCGCTATCCTAATGCACCACACTTTCCATCCTGTGTTAAAAATATTTAACCGGGTATTTAAATTGCTGTACTTGTTTGATTTTGGTATGTTCATTTTGAAATTTTAATGTCGGGCTGTTCCATTTGCTAACAACCATGCATTCTCTCTTTCTAATCTTTCTTAGTCTATTATTCTTGCTTTTCTTAACTACATTCTATAGGATTTATTCTTTCTGAATCTTGTAAATACCGGACTTCTGCCTACAAGTGACGTTCAGAGGTTCGGGTCAACTCCGTGATTGCATTTTCCGAAGACTCAAGTAGATGGCCTTACTCCGTTTTCGCCTGTCAAAATACGGATCCACATTGACACCAGATTGTGGGACTGTAGGTTGCTTGTGCAATGAAGTTAACAGCGAGAATTTCTAATTTAAAAAAAATAATTTTTTATTTCACCCGTTGATTACAAATTGACAGGACAGTAAATGAACAAGAATTAAGAAGCTTGAAGATAACAATTGACATTGCATTTAAACATGTTTGATCATTAGCAATAACTAATCACAATCGTTTTAAGTTATTGTTAATGTTGAACATTTAGTTAATGAATCAATTATATTTAGACATTAATCGATAGATATGAACAGACTAAGATAGATAGATAGATAGAAGCAAAAGCGCAATTTTAACGTGCAACGATTTTTAAAATCATTTCATTCCATGCAAGGCAATAAAGCCACTCAAACGCCAGCGGTTACTGATTTATAGAATATGAGAAAAACTACTATTAAGGAAAGGAGACTATAACAGAAAAAGGAGTGAGAAGTGCGATAAAAGAAACTTTTGGCATAGAACTTTCGGTTGCCTCAAGCCAATGTAACGGTAAAATGACGGGACCTCACCGCCAATCTAGCACTGCACTTAAATTCATAAAATTTAGGTATCATAGCGGAAAGTGATATTTATTCTGTACAATACAGAAATGTGGCACAAGGCCGAAAAGGGGATTGGGGAAAGGACGGTCTTCTTCTGTCTTAACTATAACTTAGCTAGCCGCAAGCACTGACCCAAACGTACGAAACAATATTCCTTACACCAAAACAACACATTCATTCGTACCTTTCTTACTACAACCACCATAATACCTCTTTGTCTCTATGAAAATACTAACTAGTCCCCATATTTACAATTCGTGGTCTGTGGTGGGGAGGGGAATAAAACAACAATTCTAAAAATGAACCCCAATGAGTATTTACAATATGCATACAAAAACTATTTACAAGAAACTAAAGAAAATAAGATTAGTAATAAAACCCCCCACAATTTCCTAAATGTGACAGAAACATCACTTCACTGGCCAAAATCAATGCGGGACTATAATAGTATAAACCACTCATTCATCCCAATCACTCACACTGTCATGCACTCATTCAGACACAACAACAAATACGAAAAAAAAAATCACTCACACGAAAACGAAAGGCGCCCCGCATCCACCAGCGAACTGACATCACTGACCACCTAACGAGGGAGGGGATGGGGAATTAAACTTAAAGAAAAAACAAATGGGGACAGAAATAAAAGGGGGACCAATGAGTATACATACCCTAGCTAAGTTAACTGAAAAAGGAAACTAAATCATCATAGCGGAAAGTTCATCAAAAGAATTACCATGAAAGTATTTATAGAAGAGAAGCTACGTTATGGCGTTGTGAAAGGGACTGAAGCGGAGATATATAAAAGTGAAATAAATTTTTAGGAGGATTTGAAATAATCATAAGCAATTCATCGATTCTAGAAGAATTCTCAACAGAATGTAGTAAGCACTGCACGGCCATTTTGTCCCATATTTGGGACTCATCAGCAGTGCACATCCACTAGCGAAAATCGAACCCGGACCGTTACGACATGACGCAAGCGTCATACCAACTGTATCAACGGGCCTCGGTGACGAAGAAGTTACAAATTAGACTCGATATAGCGCCGATCTTCACAAATTCCGTGTCGTAACTCATCCGAGTTTCCCCAAACCAACGGACTGTGCTCCCAAAAGCCACGTCTTCTAAGCAGCTCCATCCAGAGCATTAGAAGCCAGATCAAGTAGCTTGACTTATAAATAATTATATGATTATAACATATTACAATAGCTTTTTTACATTTATTTACTTATTTATTTAATTGATTAATTATTATTATTATTTACCGACCATCGGAAATTAAATGAAATTCTTCGCTAATATTAGAGTGCTGTATAATTTCTCCAATACTGAACTTTAAAATCAAAATTCTCCATAAGTCATGAATAAGGTTAGGTATGTCCACAATACCATGTAAACAGGCAAACATTGGAAATATCGGCAAAAATAACGGAGAAGTCCTTAACGAGGGAACGTATTCTACACGTTTATGAAAATTTAAAGACTGCATGACGAGTGTGACACCAATCAGTTTCTATATTGGTAATATATATATATATATATATATATATATATATATATATAGAGAGAGAGAGAGAGAGAGAGAGAGAGAGGGAGAGAGAGAAGAAAGGGAGAGACAGAAGGAAAGATATAGATTGATTTTGTGTCTGGGTAACACACAGTGCTTTCAGATATACTAATCCGAGGAAGAAATTTTGGGAATCGTAAAGAAAGATAAACCTTTAGAAGGAAGAAACAAATGGCAGAAAAATTCAAATTGTTCGTTATTGTATGTGATCTTTCATGCATTTATATTTTCTACAACAGATGTTTATTTTTTCTTATTAGGCATTGAGTGACAGCCAATCTCAACCACACTTGTTTCAGAATCATCTTTATTAAATATATGTGTATGTGTGTGTGTATGTGTATATGTGTGTGTGTGTCATTTACTGAGCTTTTTATCACTTGTGCAATATCAGCTGTAATACAATCAGAAGATAACTGTACGAAACCTGTAACAAGACTCAGCTTCAGACGATCGTACATCAATGGGCAGTTATCAGTCATTTATTTGTTTAAACGTTTTTTGTTAATGGATATTCATATTTGAGTAGATGATGTTTTTATTATTAAACAGTATATTTATTTACTTCTTCCGATGTATATATATATATATATATATATATATATATATATATATATATATATATATATATATATATATATATATATTTATTTATAAGCATATATATATATAAAATGTTTAGAACTTTGTGTCTACATGTAGATGTAGATAAATAAATATACTGTTTGATAATAAAAACAGAGCTACTCAGATATATTATGTATTTACTTATTTATATATTTATAAATGTCTATCTATCTATCTATCTATCTATCTATCTATCTATATCTATATCTATCTATCTATCTATTATTATAATAAAAAGGAAAAACAGTAAGATATATATATATATATATATATATATATATGTGTGTGTGTGTGTGTGTGTGTGTGAAACAGAACTGATGCTTTTAATTTAATTATATAATTAAATTTGAAGTTTTTTGCTTCGGTTTTTGAAACATGGGTATTCCCGTGTAGTGAAGAAACCATATTTTAAATCAGTTAATTTATAATATATATATTTATATATTTATTTATTTAAAGAATAGAACAATAATTATTTATTAAATTTTTTACATATGGGCAAAACAAATTACACACTACAGTAAGATGTTTTTTATCCATATGCAAAAAATTATAAGATATATATATATATATATATATATATATATATATATATATATATATATATATATACATATATATATATATATATATATATATATATATATATATATATATACATATATATCAGATATATATATATTTACACGCTAATATATATATATATATATATATATATATATAATTGAGCATAGAAGTCAACACTTAGAGGCGACAGTCTGTTACAAGCTAGATGCAATCCTCAGGCCACTATAACCTCTTCCATTTATATATATATATATATATATATATATATATATATATATATATATATATATATATATATATATATATATAAAGGAAAAGCTTATAGTAGTTCCAACGAGAGAATAGTGTGTATATTAAAAGAAGAGAGAAACCATAAACGTTTTTTAGTTGTAATGTGGATTTAAAAAAAATATTATGCCTTATTTCCCATAAATTATGGAAAATAAAGCATAATATTTAAAAAAATCCACATTACAACCAAAAAACTTTTGCTGTTTCTTTCTTTTTTATTTATGTATTATATATATATATATATATATATATATATATATATATATATATATATATATATATATATATATATATATATATATATATATATATATATATATATATATATATATTATATATATATATATATACATACACTCAAAGACAAACACACGCACAGACACACACTCATACACACTCAGACACACACACACTCACATACACACACACACACACACATATATATATATGAATAAAAAGACAAGAGGAAAAACTCTACTTAGCTGTCGTGTTTCGTCCCCTGGGAGACAAATGTGACATTTGATTTGATAAAGTCCCTCAGAGGGCGAAACACGTCGGTTAAGAATAGTTTTTCCTCGTCTTTTTATTCACTTTATTTCTTTGCAGATACACTCTATCTGCAGATTATTCACACACACACAAACACACACATACATACACACAAAGATATATATATATATATATATATATATATATATATATATATATGGCAATAGATTTATAAATGATTGTGTTCGTGCGTGATGTGGTCTTTGGAATTTAATGTAAAATAATTTTCGATATTTTCTCAGAAGCAAATTAAAGAATTATTGCTACTCGAAGCCTTTTGAACGCAAAAACCTTCCAAATTTGGCGAACGTGGACATGAGAATGAGAAAGACGAATGAAACTAATTTTGACGTAAATCACTGACAATATATCGCCAATCAAAAATCCTTGTGAGGGAAAATGAAAAATCTTTTCACAAGCCTTTTAAGTTAAAGATAGAATGCGAGCAACATAATTGTTTGAAATCTTTACATGATTTAAATCTAATAGCATTAGGTTTTCTTGATCTTAGCGTGATTCTGACTGAGCGAAATTAATGAAACGGGTAATAAAAAAAAGATATATATATATATATATATATATATATATATATATATATATATAAAGTTAAGAGCTTCTCCAATTTTTTTTTTTTTTGAGGAAGGAGACTGAAGGTCCTCCCCGTTGCCATCGGCGATTAGCGACTCAGAATTCAGTCGCTGATATTCAAGCCTAAATATCGCGTTAATGCTCCATATATTTTCTCATCGGGCTCTTGTTAATATAGAATATACCAGGGGAGGGTCAATTACTTTCATTCTTTTTCATGTGTCGTGTTCCCGCGAAACAAATACGATCATGGCTCTCCGCAATTTCCGGTCATTTATAGCTCTTAATAAATTTTATCTTTTCGTTATTTCTATTAAACTCTGTTCTGCCATCCATTTACTCATGCTCATCAGTTATATTACACGTTTTTTTCCTCAGTCCCTCTTACATATATATGAGTTCCATTTATACAGGGCGCGATGGATAAATTGCCGTTTAAATTACGCAAAAATGAAAATAATACTAACATCACATTTTAACAAATATATTTACCAAAATTACACAAAAATCTTGAAAAACTAAAGAGAAAATTTATTCAATAAATTCACCATTAGCTTCCTGAAAGTCTTCTGGGTGGTACCCTTGTTTAAGCTGGAAAACTCTGCCTTAATTCTTGCTCTCATGGAGATTTGTTGGTCTCTCGCACCACGCATAATAGTCAAAGTGGTTTCAGTCTGGGGAAATAGATATATAGGTGGCCAGATGTAAGGTGTGATGTGTTCGCAAAAATTGTGTGACAGCTTGTGTGGCATGGTGTAGAGTTCTGTTACCAGACGCAGGGCCTTCCAGCAGCCACCCTCTTGACCCAGGGAAACACTACATTTTAGCGCTGCTGGCTGTTGTTTATAGTTTTCGTTTTTATATAACTGTGCTCAATTGAAATATATTTTCAACAGCTAAATTATGCCATTCGCAGACACTACTGTTTCGCTGTATCACAGCTTCTCAGTGCGGCTAGACATCCGAATACCTCAAGCCAGGATCGAAACCCAACCGATTTGGTGTCAGTCAGATACCACTGAGTTATTTTCACAGCTAAATCTCGTGTATTGCTTTTACGAATGTAAACAAATGCCAGTCAGCCAAAGTGCTCCAATCATATGTATGTATGTTTATGTGCGTATGTAATATATATATTATCCCCGTAAAAATTCATAGAAACTTTATATTATTATCTCTAAAATATCTATTGCTAATAGTATTATTTCATAATAAATATATAAAATACGTGTGTAATAAATTTCACTGAATTTGTATGAATTCTTTTTATCAATATATACATCATTTTCATATATACGCATGCAAGTATTGAACAGCAAACACACACACACATACATACATATGATTATTCAAATCCCCCTAAATTTTTATATATATATTGATTATTTTCTTTTTAAAATTGTGATTCCATTTTTCAAAACTGAAACTAAATTTAACAAAAAAAAAAACTTAAATTGAACAACTCATAATATCAACATTGTCTGCGGTTATAAATTAAGCACATTCCTTTGAAGGTTTATTCGTAACATCGCTTGACAATGGATCGAGACTATGGATTTTAAGTTTAATTTTTATAATTAAATTTATAAATTTAGTTTCAGTTTTGAAAGATATAAATTTTCTGTGTCCCTAAGGAATCATATTTTGAAAAAGAAAATAATTATAATATTTTGCTCTACTGTTTGTATCGAGAACTTTTTAAAAATAAAAATAATTGTTAAGAACGACGGATTGTAATTCTTACTTTTCTTTCTTATCCTTTTAATATATATATATATATATATATATATAAATTAATTGATTTAAAATATGTTTTTTCGCTACACAGTTCTAACCATGTTTCAAAAATGGAAGCTAAAAGCCACGAATTTAATTTTGCAATTAAATTAAAGACATTAGTTCCATTTCATCCTCAAGCGAATTTTGGAGTAATTTTAAAATTACTGGGTTTTAAAGACACAGCTAAAATCACGTTTCCATGGTTACAGATAAATCTACTTCAACTGGACAAGGTGTGTCTGGGTTTGTAGCGAAAAAAAACATATTTTAAATCAATTAATTTATAATATTAATGCTCAGTAAATTTACATAGAGCACTATTTTGTAAAAATAAAAATATCTATAAGAACACCGGATAATATATCTTACTGTTCTTTCTTTTTATATATATATATATATATATATATATATATATATATATATATCCAAATGAGAGGAAAAATGGATCACCAGTTCCTTACCATCAGCTAAAGAGGTACAAAGTTTTCGAAACACGGAATCTATAGATAGATAGATAGATAGATAGATAGATAGATAGATAGATAAATAGATAGAATTGGAATATTGTTTTCAAACCCGAGATCATTGTTGGCTGTTGTTGTGCCTGGATGGTTTCGTTCATGCATGGATCACTAACTTTTCCGATATTTTTTATAATAAGCAGATTCAACAAGAAACGTTTAGATAAAGGAGTGTAAGAAGACACCGAATAAGAAAGATGAATTAAAAAGAAGAGAAAATATAATTAATGGATAAGAAATTGATAAAATGAGAAAAAGTAAACTGAATAAAAAAGGGGGGGGGAATAAGGATAAAGGGGAAAAAAGAAACAGATGTTGGGGTCGTAATTACACAAAGGGAAAAAGAGAAAAATGAATTGTAGCTGTCGTTACGTAAATGTAAAAAGAGGAAGATAATGGCGCAATGAAAATATTAAAAATAAACAAGAGAAAAGAAAAAGTGCTGCAATGAATCATAAAAATAAAAGCAAAGGAATGAAAATTAAAAAAAAAGGAATAAAGAACACCCGATTATGGAATGAATATATAAACGCAAATAAACAAAAAAGAAATCCGCTTTAAAAAAACAAACAACAACAAATAAAAATGTGTTTTGTTAGAAAGAAATAAAGTGTGAGATGGAAAAGAATGAAGAAGTTATACGTTTGAAGAAAGAATGAAAAGATACAGATGGAAGTCTATAAAAAGAAAAATTCTCCAGAGAAAGAAGGAAGCATTTTTTTTTAAAAGAAAGAGCATATGTCTAATAAAGAAAGATTCAAAGAATTAAGAATTAAAACAGAGTGGACAGAAAGAACGGCGTATTTTTTTTTTTACGTAAGGAAGAATAAGAGACCTTACGAAATAAATAAATAAATAAATAAATAAATAAATAAATAAAGAAAGAAAGAAAGAAAGAAAGAAGGAAGACGCTACATTTTTAAAGAAAGATAATTAACAGATAACAAAAAAAGATATATATATATATATATTTGCTAGCGTTCGAGACGGTCTTATTGAATGAATGAAACGCGGCTGGTTGACCTTAGCCTCTCTTAAAGTCATTCGAATGGCTTGAAGGAAGCCTTCGTCCAGTCGACTTAATTGATCTAAACAGTATCAAGTAGCAAGTTTAATTAATTGCTGTCTGACACAATTAACAAGGCGTTAAACAACATAACAAATTTCAACACGAAAACAACACAACAAGCCAAAAAAAAAAAAAATAATAAAAGAACTACAAAAGTAACAACAACAATAATATTAAAGAGGTGAAAATCGTTTGGCTTCATGAAACAGGATTTAATGACATTAACTGGGACTTAAAGCTCAATTCGGGTTGGAAGAGTGGCAAGTCTGTCTCTGTCTCTATATATATATAGTGATTTTCCAAGCGTAGCTTAGATGTGGCACAAGGCCGAAAGTTGGGGATCGATCTCACTCCTCAGTCGTAATTGTTCTAGCGAGACAAACTTGCTAGTGATTACACCACCTGGAGGTGCCTAAGTATATATATATATATATATATATATATATATATATATATATATATATATATATATATATATATATATATATATATATATATATATATATAGCCTAATGAAAAGCCACGTATACTTTCTTAATATGTATATATAGAAAAAGTTTCAAATTAAAAAATAATAATGTTTTATTTTATGAAAGTATATATATATATAAAATAAATAAATACTTTCATAAAATAAAACTTATATTATTATTATTTTTAATTTGAAACTTTTTCTATATATATATATATATATATATATATATATTCAACATTTCTGGTGTCTTACCAAGTGATGGTGTTGAATGTATAATAAAGGGTTTTAAAAGGTTCAAATCAATCAAACATCCCTCGCAAGGGGAAATGCTGTTACATAAGCTTTAAGGACCAATCAAAATACAAATATATGAGAATTCAAAAAACTTGACAACGAACTTTGGTTATAATAATTATTTAATGCTTTTATGTTAGGGTTAGACTAAAATAGAATTCATTTTAACTAATAAATAATAAATTATACTATAAAATTCAAAATTCAAAATTCAGAAAATATATATATATATATATATATATATATATATATATATAATAAATAAAAAATTATAAATTTATATATATATATATATATATATATATATATATATATATATATATATATATATATATTTATTCTTTATTCCACATTTCTGAAGGAACATTTTCTTTAGTCATAAAGCTTAATGCACATTTGATATCGAAACTATAATCAGCATATATATACGCCTTCTCCCTCTCTTTTTCTCACTTACTTTCCTTTTCCTTTTTCCTACACCCTTTCTTTCTTTATACCCCTTCTCTCTCTTCCACTCCTTTTTTTCTTCCTTTCCATCTTCCCACCTCTATCTCACATCTATTTTTTTCGCTTTCACACTTTTTCTCGGTTTCTCTCCAACTCAATCTATTTTTTCTCTTCTTTTCTCCTCCCCCTCTTCTCATTTTACAGAGGTTTGACTCTCCAATTTGTCTAGTATTCACCAACCGCTGAGAAATGAAATAAAAAATACAATAGAAAGCAGACAGGAGATTCAAACGTTTGAAAGTTTGAGTGCAGACACAAGGCTATGAGGGCCACCTTAATCGAACTCGCATAGACAAGAGTACAATATGAGAGTTATTATTAAAGAAAAAATAAATGACAACAAGGCTTCAACAGCAGCAGTAAGATAAGAGAAACCACAATTAATACTTTCAATCATGACGTGCAGCAACAATGGCTACAGCAGGCAGAGTAGGTGCATGGCACAAAGTTCTAGATTCAGGATTGTCCCACGGGTAGGTTAAGCAAGTTTTACATAATTAGTTGACACTTTATATGTCTATGTGTGTGTGCGTGTTTGTGTGTGTGTGTATGTGTGTGCGTATTTTGGTTATTCCAAAGTAATTAGATTTTTTGAGAAACGATATAAAAACAAGTGTCTGTCTCTATTTCTGATATGAGGTATTGTAACTATTTACACTATTTACATTGTTCGAACAGTTGTCCTCATCTTTATTGTCATATTCACGACATTTCGGCCATTGTACAAAAGGAAGTATATGTTAAACTTATTTAAGCGTTATTTATCAAACGTTTAATCATCTTCAGTTTAAACGTTTGCAGCTCAATGGGAAGGCTCATTTCCGATTCCTTGTTGAAAATATTCTGGGTTCCTACAATATATGAAAAAAAGATTGAAATACCGTTTTCGAGTATATCTTTGTTTCTGAAAGTTCTAACACTTATGAAATGTTCTCGAGATCGAAACAAATAATCATGTCGATGTTATATCCGGTAAGTATGGGGGGGGGTCGTTAATACAGATTATCGATAAGTGCTTGTCAAAAAAAATAGATGGAGATGAATGAAAGAATTATGTCTTATTGAAGAAGGAAATAAAGAAATTTTCCATCTGTATAATCGATTCTTTTCTCTTATTTAATATTCAAACAAATTTTATAACAATAATTATAACTGATCTAATATACAGGTTGTAACAACAAAATTATCCAAATCGTTTAATAGCAAAATTATCCAATTGTTAGATTAAGCTCTGAAGATTTGTATCTTAGAAGATATCTTGTATACAAGTAGTAACAGCAAAATTATCCAATTCGTGTAACAGCAAAACTGTCCAATTGATAAAGATTTGGTCAGTTGTATCTAAGAAATGATTAAAGATATGCTACTGGAATTCGCCGAGGTTTTCATAACCCTACTGGATTATACTTTGAGCATGAAGAATTTATAATTACTCTCCAAGCTTAACGCAAGAATCGTGATGAAATCAATCATAAACGAAAATGACATGTTCATCATTAATTAACCATAGCTAAGGATCGGAAGCCCAGGATTGAAATAAAGTTCAGATATATATACATTATTCTAGGATCATTTTCCAATTTATTCAAGATCATCTTCGCCCTCTCTAACTACGTTGCCTTAACGTTAAGATTTTATTTTAAAGTCATTTTTCACTGTTCTTTGGAATGTCATAGCTGAAACTACATTCTCGCTAAATGTCTTGTTAACTGAGTTGGATCTTTTCCAATTGATCTCCTTATTTCTAATTTTAATGATGATCCCTCTTCCTGTTGTGACCTTCTGATTCAGTTTTTCCTCTTTACTGTTCCCTATTTTTTAAACTTATCGTTATCTTGATGGTTATTGAATAGACTTTGAGGATGGAAGCCAGAATATGAATGTTGGTATCATATCTGAAGGCCTGAATTATCTTTTTCCTTTCACCATTGCTCAGTTGGGAAGATAGTTGGTCTGACACAAAACAATTTTATCCTTTTCCCTTTTTAGCTGAATAACTCAAAGGGATTTTAGTTATTCTAAAAGTAAATGGTGTCAAGATAGCTAAACAGCTTATCTGAAAAGCTGGAAAAGAGAAAGTCAATTACTTTAGTGTGTTTTTTTTTTGATATTAAACAATTGGTGGGATGGATAATTAAGCTGTATTATGATTCGGACATTTTTTCTGTTGCACCGGGTGTATATGACGAATATTTTTTATTGTTTATATAGATATATAATTCATTTTTTCATTTTATTGTTTATAGCATGATATTATTTTTCCATTAAATACACGTTGTAAACAATCGATGAACGGTACAGAAATAGATTGCAGTTCGGATTGAATAATCGGAGGGTCGAGTTCAATTTCAAGTCGCGTTCACTACATTCACTTACGTGCAAATCAGCTTAGAAAAGATATGAATCAGTCTCTTGTCCTTCCAGGTATCTGTAAATAAGAGGTAATTCTAGGTTATATCGTCCTAGTTGGCAATCGGTCTTGTAGAAGGAAAGATAGTCCTAGGTGGCAATCGGTGTAGTAGAAGAAAAAATAATCCTAGGTGGCAACAGGTCTAGTACAAGGAAAACTCGTCCTAGGTGGCAACCGGTCTAGTAGAAGAAAAAATCGTCCTAGGTGGCAACCGGTCTAGAAGAAGGAAAAATTGTCCTAGGTGGAAACCGTTGTAGTTGAAAGAAAAATCGCCTTAGGTGGCAACAGGTCAAGTAGAAGAAAATATCGTCCTAGTTAGCAACCAGTCTAGTAGAAGAAAAAATCGTCCTAGGTGTCAATCGGACTAGTAGAAGGGAAAATCATACTAGGTTGCGACCTGTCTAGAAGAAGGAAAAATCTTCCTAGGTTGCAACCGGTAAGTAGAAGGAAAAATAGTCCTAGGTTGCAACCGGTCTAGAAGAAGGAAAAATCGTCATAGGTTGCAACCGGTCTAGAAGAAGGAAAAATCGTCCTAGGTTGCAACCGGTCTAGAAGAAGGAAAAATCGTTCTAGGTTGCAACCGGTCTAGAAGAATGAAAAATCGTCCTAGGTTGAAACTGGTCTAGTAGAAGAAAAAATCGTCCTAGGTGGCAACCGCTCTAGTAGAAGGAAAAATCGTCCTAGGTTGCAACCGGTCTAGAAGAAGGAAAAATCGTCCTAGGTTGAAACTGGTCTAGTAGAAGAAAAAATCTTTCTAGGTTGCAACTGGTCTAGTAGAAGAAAAAATCGTTCTAGATTGCAACTGGTCTAGAAGAAGGAAAAATCGTCCAAGGTGGAAACCGTTGTAGTTGAAAGACAAATCGTCCTAGGTGGCAACAGGTCTAGTAGAAGAAAAAATCGTCCTAGGTGGCAATCGGACTAGTAGAATGGAAAATCATACTAGATGTCAACCAGTCTAGTAGAAGGAAAAACCGTCCAAGGTTGCAACAGGTCTAGTAGAAGGAAAAATCGTCCTAGGTTGCAACCGGCCTAGAAGAAGGAAAAATCGTTCTAGGTTGCAACAGGACTAGAAGAAGGAAAAATCGTCCTAGGTTGCAACCGGTCTAGTAGAAGAAAAAATCGTTCTAGGTTGCAACCGGTCTAGAAGAAGGAAAAATCGTCCTATGTTGCAACCGATCTAGTAGAAGAAAAAATCGTTCTATGTTGCAACCGGTCTAGAAGGAAAAATCGTCCTAGGTTGAAACTGGTCTAGTAGAAGAAAAAATCTTTCTAGGTTGCAACTGGTCTAGTAGAAGAAAAAATCGTTCTAGATTGCAACTGGTCTAGAAGAAGGAAAAATCGTCCAAGGTGGAAACCGTTGTAGTTGAAAGACAAATCGTCCTAGGTGGCAACAGGTCTAGTAGAAGAAAAAATCGTCCTAGGTGGCAATCGGACTAGTAGAATGGAAAATCATACTAGATGTCAACAAGTCTAGTAGAAGGAAAAACCGTCCAAGGTTGCAACCGGTCTAGTAGAAGGAAAAATCGTCCTAGGTTGCAACCGGCCTAGAAGAAGGAAAAATCGTCCTAGGTTGCAACCGGTCTAGTAGAAGAAAAAATCGTTCTAGGTTGCAACCGGTCTCGAAGAAGGAAAAATCGTCCTAGGTTGCAACTGGTCTAGTCGAAGAAAAAATCGTTCTAGGTTGCAACCGGTCTAGAAGAAGGAAAAATCGTCCTATGTTGCAACCGATCTAGTAGAAGAAAAAATCGTTCTATGTTGCAACCGGTCTAGAAGGAAAAATCGTCCTAGGTTGAAACTGGTCTAGTAGAAGAAAAAATCGTTCTAGGTTGCAACTGGTCTAGTAGAAGAAAAAATCGTTCTAGATTGCAACTGGTCTAGTAGAAGAAAAAATCGTCCTAGGTGGCAACCGCTCTAGTAGAAGGAAAAATCGTCCTAGGTTGCAACCGGTCTAGAAGAAGGAAAAATCGTCCTAGTTTGAAACTGGTCTAGTAGAAGAAAAAATCTTTCTAGGTTGCAACTGGTCTAGTAGAAGAAAAAATCGTTCTAGATTGCAACTGGTCTAGAAGAAGGAAAAATCGTCCAAGGTGGAAACCGTGGTAGTTGAAAGACAAATCGTCCTAGGTGGCAACAGGTCTAGTAGAAGAAAAAAAATCGTCCTAGGTGGCAATCGGACTAGTAGAATGGAAAATCATACTAGATGTCAACCAGTCTAGTAGAAGGAAAAACCGTCCAAGGTTGCAACCGGTCTAGTAGAAGGAAAAATCGTCCTAGGTTGCAACCGGCCTAGAAGAAGGAAAAATCGTTCTAGGTTGCAACCGGTCTAGAAGAAGGAAAAAATCGTCCTAGGTTGCAACCGGCCTAGAAGAAGGAAAAATCGTTCTAGGTTGCAACAGGTCTAGAAGAAGGAAAAATCGTCCTAGGTTGCAACCGGTCTAGTAGAAGGAAAAATCGTCCTAGGTTGCAATCGGTCTAGAAGAAGGAAAAATCGTTCTAGGTTGCAACCGGTCTAGTAGAAGAAAAAATCGTTCTAGGTTGCAACCGGTCTCGCAGAAGGAAAAATTGTCCTAGGTTGCAACTGGTCTAGTAGAAGAAAAAATCGTTCTAGGTTGCAACCGGTCTAGAAGAAGGAAAAATCGTCCTAGGTTGCAACCGGTCTTGTAGAAGAAAAAATCGTCCTAGGTGGCAACGGGTCTAGAAGAAGGAAACCTCGTCCTAAGTTGCAACTGGTCTAGTAGAAGAAAAAATCTTTCTAGGTTGCAACCGGCCTAGAAGAAGGAAAAATCGTCCAAGGTGGAAACCATTGTAGTTGAAAGTAAAATCGTCCTAGTTGGCAACAGGTGTAGTAGAAGAAAATATCGTCCTAGTTGTCAACCAGTCTAGTAGAAGAAAAAATCATACTAGATGGCAACCAGTCTAGTAGAAGAAAAATCGTCCTAGGTTGCAACCGGTCTAGAAGAAGGAAAAATCGTCCTAGGTTGCAACCGGTCTAGAAGAAGGAAAAATCGTCCTAGGTTGCAACAGGTCTAGAAGAAGGAAAAATCGTCCTAGGTTGCAACCGGTCTAGTAGAAGAAAAAATCGTTCTAGGTTGCAACCGGTCTAGAAGAAGGAAAAATCGTCCAAGGTGGAAACCGTTGTAGTTGAAAGACAAATCGTCCTAGGTGGCAACAGGTCTAGTAGAAGAAAAAATCGTCGTAAGTGGCAATCGGACTAGTAGAAGGGAAAATCATACTAGATGTCAACCAGTCTAGTAGAAGGAAAAACCGTCCAAGGTGGCAACCGGTCTAGAAGAAGGAAAAATCGTCCCAAGTTGCAACCGGTCTAGAAGAAGGAAAAATCGTCCTAGGTTGCAACCGGTCTAGTAGAAGAAAAAATTGTCCTAGGTTTCAACCGGTCTAGAAGAAGGAAAAATCGTCCTAGGTTGCAACCGGTCTAGTAGAAGAAAAATTGTCCTAGGTTGCAACCGGTCTAGTAGAAGGAAAAATCATCCTAGGTTGCAACCGGTCTAGAAGAAGGAAAAATCGTCCTAGGCTGAAACTTGTCTAGTAGAAGAAAAAATCCTTCTAGGTTGCAATCGGTCTAGTAGAAGGAAAAATCCTCGAAGGTGGCCACCGTTGTAGTAGAAGGAAAAACTCTGAATTCAAAATCTACAACTAAAAACTAGGACAGTCTGAGCTCTTCGGCCATGTTTGGCAACCTGACTAGGAGAAGGACAACCCTGAATTCCAATCCGGCACCGTAGTCCCTAAGTCAGTCAAATGTGTTCATTTATGTTCTATCAACTCCTGTACCGACGTCAGTGTCAAGCTGTTTTGGCCTCTGCCTTTCCTCTGGACAACAACGGTGGCATGGAGAGGACAGGCTTACTGTATGGCCTACAGCTCTCGCTCATAAAAAAAAAACCTGCACACGCCCGCGCTCTGGAGAAGGCATAACTCTTTGAGCGTATAGCCATGGTATCTGGAGAGTGACAGATACCATACTGAATCCAAAAGCTAGGATTAGGAGACAGGTGGATTTCTTCTACGTGACATCTGTCCTTCTTTACGGTAGCGAATATTGGACGGTCTTCTCAAAGATGAAGAAGAGACTCGAGGCAACGGACGTCTGGTTCTACAGAAGGATGCTAAGGATCAATGCTAACCGCCAAGACAGTGTTATTTGAGACCGTAAACAAAAAAGTGCCTCCTTATTGACATGGCAGTCCATGCCGACTGCAATCTGTCTTTGAAGATATTCAAAAAGCTATCAAAATACAAAGACCTTGAAATCGAAATCTCAGAAATGTGGCAATAAATAAAATCAATAACCCCTGTTGTAGTTGGAGCCCTAGAATTGATTGGAAAAGATTCCAGTAGACTAATTGAAGCGATTCTTGGAAGCCCATGCCTTAATGTAATACAAAAAATTGTTCTAATGAGTACAACCCACACCTTACGAAGGGCTTTATCTATGAAAAATATGTCTTTTTTTTGTTTTCTTTTTGGTCAGTGGAAAATGTCATGTTGCCATTTCTAACCTTCGGTCACCAGCTTGAAAACTGAAAAAATGTTTGTGGAGAATTGAAAATGAGACCAGAAATGGAACTGAAACCATGATTATGGTCGTCCAGAAAACCGCCATTATTTACTCTGCGACGATTCGCCGGAAGATTCTGGACTTGTGAGGATTCTTGTTGAGACCATTCTTCAAGGACAGAATTTCCATTTCCTACGTCAATGTGCGCCACAAACTTAATAATAATAATAATAATAATAATAATAACTGCAATATTTGACGACGATCCGTTTACTCCAACGTCCATTATAAAAGTGTCTATCTCTCTCTATTTCTCTATCTTTCACTTCTTCTCTCTGTCTCTGTCTCTCTCTCTCTCCTTCTCTTTCTCTCTCTCTCTCTCTCTCCATATATATATATATATATATATATATATATATATATCACTCTCGCTGTGATTCTGGTACCATGAAATTCAGTGCGTTATGATCGGTTTATGGACGAAAAAACTTGTTCTCCACCAGAATTTTACCCTGAGTATTGTGGCTAGTCAGAAGCGGATTACAAATATCACAGGGGTGGACGAACTTTCTTATAGGGCCAATGACTATCTCGCATCTGGGTTCCATAGCTATGGATACACACAGTGATGTGATGAAAGAGCATTGCCAGGTGGAGGGATTTCAATCCTGAGATCAACTAATAGGTAGAAGGTTTCCCACCACCCCGATGTAATCAACGATCACATGTTCGTAACCAAGGCCAGCTTTCAAGTTCCGAGGACAGCTTCCTGTGTTTTGTCATGCTTACTTGTCAATACACGTTACGCTTTCAACCCCTATTATTGAAGCGACAATATTAGGTGCTCAGCTGTACAGCAATCCTACAACCCGGTGATGGAACTGATAATGATGGAGAATATGGAAGACCATAATATCCCAAAGTTATTTTAATTTCCATGAGTTCGTTTTGCGGATTTTGCCTTTGAATTTTCATTCTGGTTAATGAAATTACTTGTTTCTTCATCAAAGCAGGACATAATGTTTCGTTTAACCGATCGATTTGTTTGGCAATAAATATCTCCAGTTATAGTGTGACACCATTTAGGGTTGCTAGAAAGAAAGAAGAAAAAGAAAAAGAAAAGGCGAGAATTAAATTTAGGTGATAAGAAGCCATCACGAAAAGGACACTAAGCGATGTTATCTTTTTTCTAACGGAGAAAAGTGCTAAAGGTTTTTATTCTCATTAGCGGATGTGTCGGATTTAAATTAATTTATGACAACGATAATGAAAATTTCAAGTTGGCCGAGACCCCTTCGAAACAGAAAAAATTAATTAAGCACGCACAGACCGAAAAAGAAAATGCCCGCAGGACCTCCCACAGAGTGCTGGGAGATAAAAATTAATAAGGTCAAGCTTGACCGAAACCAAAATGTCCGTGGAACCACCTCCATGTCATTTGGGAAAAACACCTGTTTATTGTCAGGGCTGGCTATGATAACAAAATTATTTTATCATAACGAATAATTGGCACCAATGTTCGATGCGTCTAATTGACCACCCACTTGTTTGGCGAATGTCCCGGGTGATAAAGTCCAAGTGATATTTGGCTAAGATAAGAGTCCAAGGGTTTGTTGTCGGGCAGAAGGAAAGAAAGACAAAGAAAAGAAAAAGAAAAGAAGAAAAAAGAAGATAATTTTTTTCTTTGAGCAAGATTTTTTAAACCGAGGCTAGTCTGGCCACACCCACATCGCTGAGCAGCCCATTGGCTGAATGGTGGCGTGAGCGTTAGGCGGAGGTAATCATGTGAAGAAGGAGGGGAGGCCTGTTGCGCCCCCCCCGAAGGGATAGGTGTGAGATGCCACTGGGAGAGAGAGGGGAAACCCGTTGACACCCTCTGAGGGTATGGTGAGATACCAATATGAGAAAAGAGGAAGGTGGAAGGACGAAAAGACTTCCAAAAATGAAAAATAATAAATTTTCCTGACCGAAAACAAAGAAGTGGATTGTGGATTTAGAATTATTCAGGAACCTCAAACCCATCAAGCCCACCCCGGCTTTGGTCGGCGTCCATATAAGCAGAGTCGCAGCGAGTGAAAAGCAGTTAAGTTCGAGTTCCAGTTCCAGTTAAGTTCGAGTTCGAGTTCCAGTTGAGAGGCAGTTGAGTGAAGTTCGCAGTTGGAGTTGCATCCGCCTCGCAGATAGCTGACTGAAAGATTCCACGCAATTCCGAAATCAACTTCTAACCAAGAACAATTTATTTTTTGAAGAACGACTTAGACTCACACCACCAAAACAAGTTTTACGAATATCACCTGAAGATACACAAAGAACCAGTTTCTTAAAGAACAAACAACTTAAGATGTTAAGATTCGCCTAACAAACACAAAGTGTCACCAATCCATATAGCGGGTTGGGAAGAAGACGCTCTCCTGTATTCAGCAACCAGATATAAAGTATTGTTATCCTTTTTTTTAAACACATTTGAACTTTTCGAGTTATTATTTTATTTTCTTTTACATATACTTGTGTAGTGTTACCCTTGGCCGGACTCAGCTTGCATTACGGTCCTGTGACTGATTGATTTTGTCTACCTAAGATCAAATCACAATGTGGGTAGGTTAGACTAGAAATCAAAACAGTTACTTCGGTAACCAGATGTTGGAGGCGAGCTGGGAACAACAAGGCTGATACCGAATCTAACCAGATTCCCATCCGAATCAGCAAAAGGTTAGAACGTCACATTTGGTGCCGCGACCAATACCAAGTCACATTGGTCGTCACAAGACAGGATAGGACGGCGACGACGCGGAGACAGACCGGGGGGCGTCACAACTGGCGCCGTGACCAGGACAGCACGACGGACGCAGCCAGGCAGACGTCACATTTGGCGCAGCGACACCGGGGGGACGTTCACAATAGTCATTATGTATGTCGTAACCGTTAACAATGTTCATTGGCACAAAGAAGGGTATCTTCGATGGAAATCTGAAATTGGTTTCGGCAGCCGTTTCTCATTATGATGACCATAAATTTTACGGTTTCTCTAGACATGAAAAACCCATTTTTCATTTCTTTAACAATGCGATAAAACTCTTAGTCCGTTCATATCAATCCCAGTCTGGTCATTATCTATCTATCTATATATCTATCTCTGCCTGATCATTTTGTATATAGTTCTGTCCATTTTTATCTATCTATCTATCTATCTATCTTATTCTGTTATATCTATATATCTATCTCTATCTGATCATTATCTATATAATCCTGTTCATTTCTGTCTATCTATCTATAGTAATTTTCCAAGCGTAGCTCAGATGTGGCACAAGGCCGAAAGTATGGGGCACCCAATGAGGATCGAACTCACTGCTCAGTCGTAATTGTTCTAGCGAGACAAGCTTGCTAACCATTACACCTCGTCGAGGTGCCCTATCTATCTATCTATCTATCTATCTCTCTCTCTCTCTCTCTCTCTCTCTCTCTCTCTCTCTCTCTCATTAATGTTTATATTAGAATCTTTTTTATTCTTCTGTCTTGATTTTGTTTTATTTGCGGCCATCAAACACTTATTCATTTGGTGATGAAAGTCATTAAATCATTTAAGACGAAATTAAGTCATTTCTTCCTCTACTCGAAAACCTGAGTAGGACATCTGATCTTTATATAGAAGCAGATAGAGACGTGCATCGAAATGCACTTAACTTGTACTGCTTTACTCTGTTTGCATTAATTTCAAACTATCATAAGTGTATATTGTAGTGTCCAGTATCTTTGAAGTTTTCTAAAAATCGAATTAAGTTTATTTTTTTCCACCAAAACAACTTAATATCGTGTTACATTTAGTCCATTATTCTTCATTTGTTTAGATTAGTTTGATGTCTTAAAGGCTTTTAATATACCCGAATCGCTTTTGTCGTAGACGTCAGTGTATTGATCAAAGAGGAAACTGAAGCTTCTGTCTCTCTCTCTCTCTGTCTGACCGCCTGCTAAACACTAAGAAATTGCTAGATGGATTTTTAACCAAACTTGATCTGCCGATAGACGATGACCAAAATTGCCTTAAGCTTACAATGAAGATCAACATCATCACCAGCAGCACCAGCAGAAGCATCAGCATCGTCATCAACATCACCAGTTAGCGCATTTTGCGCCACTGTGATCACCATTCCCTATTCCATCACACAAGTGTGGTTCATGGTGATATTCAAGGCAGAATAGTGGAAGGGGTGGGGCGGTTCCTTTTGATCCGGGACTGTTGAGGTTACCTCGTCTCTCCTCACATAAATTTAAAAAAGCAATACCTGCAAGGCAGCAGGTGGTTTGAATTCAGAGTTTTCCCTCTCCTAAACTGGTTGCCAACCAAGACTACAGCGCCCAGTTCATCCAGTTCTGTCCCGATATTTACCCATAGCTTGAGGGAAGCGATAGGTGCCTACATTTGATAAAGTTATTAACATGTACTTGGGTTCGAACTTGTCTCCCTGATTCCTCAATCCGAGCCACTGCTTCCATCATCAAAAACAGGCACGCTTAAAAATATGTTTGAAGACTCCATTTTTCGTGGAAGTTAAATATTTATTCCCAAAGTTGAAATAATAGCAATAATAGAGGTAAATCAGTTTAGAGATTATACATATATTTTTTCAACTTTCAGGGTCTTTGCGGTCCCGTTTCTCCACAGCCAGCAGTCGTGCTCTCTCTAAGCAATGTTTTCTCCTAAATAATCCATTTGTTCCCAATTCTGCTATCCATTTACTCACGTTTGTTAGAGAGATTATCGGTGTTTCCTTCATGCATTCAACAATTCCTGAGAGTATCAAAATGTCCAAAATATATTTCCTTCTGAAATTCCCCAGAAAGTTCAACACATTTTTATAAGTACATACATCTATCTATCTATCTATCTATCTATCTATCTATCTATCTATCTGTTCAAATCTATCTATCTATCTATCTATCTATCTATCTATCTATCTATCTATCTATCTCAATCTGTTTAAATCTATCTATCACAACCTATTCATATCTATCTATCTATCTATCTATCTATCTATCTATCTATCTATCACAACCTGTTCATATCTATCTATCACAAGCTATTAATATCTATCTATCTATCTATCTATCTCAACCTGTTCATATCTATCTATCACAACCTATTCATATCTATCTATCTATCTATCACAACCTGTTCATATCTATCTATCACAAGCTATTCATATCTATCTATCTATCTATCTATCTATCTATCTATCTATCTATCTATCTCAACCTGTTCATATCTATCTATCACAACCTATTCATATCTATCTATCTATCTATCTATCTATCTATCTATCTATCTATCTATCACAACCTGTTCATATCTATCTATCACAAGCTATTCATATCTATCTATCTATCTCAACCTGTTCATATCTATCTATCACAACCTATTCATATCTATCTATCTATCTATCTATCTATCTATCACATCCTATTCATATCTATCTATCTATCTATCTATCTATCTATCTATCTATCTATCTATCTATCTATCACAACCTGTTCATATCTACCTATCACAAGCTATTCATATCTATCTATCTATCTATCTATCTATCTATCCCAACCTGTTCATATCTATCTATCACAACCTATTCATATCTATCTATCTATCTATCACAACCTATTCATATCTATCTATCTATCTATCTATCTATCTATCTATCTATCTATCTATCTATCTATCTATCTCAACCTGTGCATATCTATCTATCACAACCTATTCATATCTATCTATCTATCTATCTATCTATCTATCACATCCTATTCATATCTATCTATCTATCTATCTATCTATCTATCTATCTATCTATCTATCTATCTAGTACTAAAGGTCTATGATTGCGTCCGTGCTTGCGTGTTGCGTGCATCCGGTGCATAATAATTTAAGTTTAATCTGATTTAAAAAATTAATTAACTTCCCTTAGGCATTTGAATAACCCACATGGTGATTGAAAAGTAACTCCTTATTTTATGCATGAGTGCCCAGCCAGTAGACCTGACTTAACACCTTGTGACTTTTCTCTTTAGGGTTGGTTAAATTAGCAAGTTTACTCTACCAAACCAAGATTTTGGAAGAACTTGAAAGGCGAATACAAAAAGTTATGTCTTCCGTAGCAGAAGAGTTCCTGGTGAAAACAGTTGACGTAAATTCCTGGGTGAATATCGAATTTTAAATGCAACCTCATGCTAAACGCTTTCCTCTTATATCCATTTATTGTAAACAATTATAGTTAATAAATAAATTATAAGTATATTAAAACGGGGAGTTACTTTTCAATCATCTTGTATACAAATAAAAGGAATCTGCCTATATTTCTGAGATAAGGTATTATGTACACTATTTACATTATTCGTAATATTGACCTCATCTTTGTCGCCATATTTATCACAACGTTGTACGCTCCGGCCTTATTCAAGTGTTTGGAATATCGAAATTAAACCCTTTATTTCGCTCACGGGGGTAGACTGTTCTAGTTCCACGTGACATCTCTAATGGATGTCCGTTATCGGTTATCTCCTGATAATTCCCCTTTCCAAGTTTTCTACCGCCTTAACTAGGTATTGAACTTACACACTGAGATTTCGATTTCAAGGTCCTGTGCCATGTTTCCTTGAGGATATCTGTGTATTAATTTCTGGGTATTATAAACTTAATGTCTTCAGCGACCATTTTTTACCAGTGCTCATTTTGCAATTTTTGTTGTTATCATTTCATGTTTTTAGAAGAGCTCATATTGCAATTTTTGTTGTTATTATCTCGCTTTTCTCTGGAAATATGGCATAGTGGATAAAGGCGTTAGTTAGATCCAGTGACAGGATCCAATGAACTTATTATGCGCCGGACTCAAGCGCGCATGCAATCACAGATTTTAGTACCAGATAGATAGATATGCACTTAGAAAAAAAAGAGTTGAACTTTCAGGGGCATATCATGCGGAAATATGGTCTGGAAATTTTAATACTCACTTGAAATGTTCAATGCAAGAGGAAAACAACGATAATCTATCTAACAAACGTAAGTAAATAGCAGAATTGGGAATGAGGGATTATTAAAAGGAAAACATTGCTTAGAGATAAAATGACTACTAGTTTTGGAGAGACGTGATCGCAAACATCCTGAAATATATATATATATATATATATATATATATATATATATATATATATATATATATATAAAAAAAAACTGCGGAGGGTCGTTTGAGGACATTGTGGCACGTTGTGCACCAGGTCTCTGTATTCGGCCCTTCAAAAGTGTGGATGGTCCTGCAC